ATCTGTATAATGTTTTACCATCTCTGAGGTATCTGTAGAGTATCACGCAGACCTTTATATCTGTGTAATGTCTTACCATCTGTTATGTATCTATATAGTGTTATCCAGTCGTGTATGTGTCCGTTTAACGTCTTACTATCTTTAAGGTATATGTAGAGTGTTTTACTGTCTCCAAAGTTATTGTGAAGTGTACCGTCACCTTTTTGATGCAGTGTTCGGTCTTGCATCCCCTATCTGTGTGAGGTGTTAAAGCGTGATATGTACATGGTATTCATCTGTATATATTTAATAATGTCCCCTCATACTGATATAGACAGCCTATATCATGTTAAATACTGTCACCTCGCACTGGCATGGAAATAATTATGTGTTGTGTGCAATTGTATGAAGGCTTCCTCTAACATTGGTGTAAAATAATGAGACATTTCCATTATATGAAACAGTTGAAGGCAAATCTACAGAATATCCCTTAGTATTTGTGTTCAACGTTCCTAAATATTTCAACGGTTTAATTCGGAAGACTTTGGGAATAGATGGTGACTCTTTCTAGAAAAGGTATCCCCGAAATATATATATTTAGCTGCATATCCCAATGCACTGACATAGAATTAATGACATTTTTGTTTTTCCCCAAGGTTTCTGACACGGTTGTGGAACCTTACAACGCCACGTTATCAGTTCATCAACTCGTTGAGAATACTGACGAGACATTCTGTATCGACAACGAGGCTTTGTACGATATTTGCTTCCGGACCTTAAAACTGACCACGCCAACATACGGTGATTTGAACCATCTGGTGTCCGCCACAATGTCTGGTATAACAACATGTTTAAGGTTCCCGGGACAGTTAAATGCTGACCTACGAAAACTTGCTGTCAACATGGTGCCTTTCCCTCGCCTTCACTTTTTCATGCCAGGGTTTGCTCCCCTGACTTCTCGGGGAAGCCAGCAGTACCGAGCGCTCTCAGTACCTGAACTGACGCAACAGATGTTCGACGCCAAAAACATGATGGTAGCCTGTGATCCCCGTCATGGTCGCTACCTAACTGTAGCGGCCATGTTTAGAGGCCGCATGTCCATGAAAGAAGTGGACGAGCAGTTACTCAATATCCAAAACAAAAACAGCAGCTACTTCGTGGAGTGGATTCCCAACAACGTCAAGACTGCAGTGTGTGACATTCCACCCACAGGACTCAAAATGTCTGGCACTTTCATCGGCAACACGACTGCTATACAAGAGATCTTTAAGAGAATATCGGAACAATTCACCGCCATGTTCCG